AGGTAAAAAAGATGACTGCAAATGAATTCGGGATTTTAAGGACACGCCAAGGATGAAAGTAATCTTGCAATGGTACTGTCATCATATGTATATTGCTTTGCTATGTCAAAACTAGTGATGTTGTCAAGACAAATTTTAAGCCACAAAGGATACATTCAATCCCAAAAATGACAGTGTTTCTAATTTTTTTCAAAGTATGTCTGCAAAAGATGTGAGCAGTTTGTTTTGGCTGTATAGCCTGTAGAGTCAGATTTGAATTCAGAATCAGTTATCAATATAGGATAGGTTTCGCTATTTGTTTTTCCACGGAAAAACTACTGTACAGAAACTATGTCACCACGTAATTTTTTGAAAAATATTCATATTCATTGATGAAACGCGACAACTCAACCTTCGTTAACTGGATAAAAAGTTTGATTCCATTTGGTTTTGTGTTATCAAATCACTCCCTGCTGCAGCTACATCAACATATTTGTGTTTGACACTAGCAGTACTTGTAGATATGAGGTATCAAGATATTACTTCAGTAGTAAATACCTGTCTATTTGGTGTCTGCCTTAGATGCTCAGATAAATGATACGTTCGGCAGTTTTACAAAAGTCACCGAAGGAATACATATCTGGTACTATTATTGTAAGCCTTGGTTTGTGTATTCACTTGCACCGATGTTCTGTATTCAACTAAACATTACGTCTTTGTTCCTGAAGAATTCAACATAACCTGCATGTTCGAAATGGCGTCTAAAATTGGGGACTGCAGCTCTAATCACAAGTACTTGACTACCAGCGATTCGATTAAACTCAAGTTGACCACAAGGCAACTTGCATGTGAGTATTCCTGATTTAAAATCCTTTGAACTCGTGTGCGTGCGTAGATGTGTCTCATGACGACCGATGTCTTTAAAGGGTTCGGTCTTGAAAAGCGTTTCTGCAATTCACATCAACCATATTAAATGGTTGTTGGGTCGTTCTCATCCTTTTCCCCACACAAACTTATATGTTATTTAGAATGGCATGCTGAAATCCATGAACACGTTCTTAAGATATTACCTTTCCCAAATATTCTTGGCATAAGAAATATGACTTTCTTTTCTTCACCATCAACATATAACATGAGTTATAAAAGCTGGCATGTTAGTGTGCATAAAAGGTTACTTCCATCTACGCTATATATGTCCGTATTAATGTCAGGACAGAAAAGTTGTCATCGATCTGTGTCCAGAAGTTCCTGCCAGCTTGTGGCCAGGTCGCACTCCACATCTACAATGGATACCAGCCAAACAACACAGAATGTACGTCCGTTTCTATAGGCTTTTCACAACATGTCTGATTAATAGCAGTCTATGTAGTGGTGTTTCAAGGGCATTTGCCTTCTTTACTTTAAGTCTGTTTTATATTGTAAAATAATTAAACAGGTGGATGCAGGAACAGGTACACAATGTTACGACCTTCAGCCACAACCTGACAGTCCACAGTCATACTCATCCACAGTCATACTCATAAGGTTTGCTACCGTCAGAACATTACACATGCACACATTTCTCAAAACTTCAAGTCATTATCTCTTAAGTTATGTTTGGTTTGAAAACATGCTACTTATGTATTGCATTAGCTTTATTTCGTTATCGTGTTACACCAAAATGTTTCAATAATGCCCTGGAAGATCAGCAACCCACACCTGTCACAGGAACCGACAATAAATGTAAATAGATCTATAGGTATGTACAACTGTATTCCAGTCTTCATGTTCCTACGACTTTAACATTCATGTGTTGACTTTCATTAGGCCTAACACCCAACAGTTTCGACACACCCACCGTGGAATGTTCCACCACTGAAGACATTCGAAGTAGCTACCATCAATGCTTAGTCTACAACGGGATACTCTTCCAATTCCCGGAAAACCTAACCAGTGAAGACACTAGGCAGCACATTATGCGCGCTATTACAATGGATGACAATATGTGCTGGTATATATTATTTAAAACATTTCTTTTTAGTAATCCCATACTGTCTCCTCGTGATCCTGTTGTAATAAGTGACTATGTTCCATACAAACAGAGAACGTCAGGTATTAAAAAGAACTGGAAATTGCAAATTTGCAATATATATAATGGAAGTCACAAGAAGTATCGATATTTTGTGACAATACATGGTATTGCAAGGTTGTCTCTCTGGCATCTTTAGACAGTTTCATCATTATCTACTACACCTTCATGATATGGCTTCAGTCACCACAGTCACTGTAACATGAATGTGGGGCATTGATAGCCAGCTGGTAAATGAAGCGAATTTCCAAATGTTTACAGAAATGTAGCTGAACATAGATAATAAAGTCTCCAAACCATGTTATTAATTTTTCCCAAAGAGACAAACATATATAATATTATGTATGTAATTATTTTATAACCTCATTTTTTGGTAACTTGTGTTGTAGCTGTTAATGAATTTCAACATTGACTTGCCTCGTTTTCAAGGCTATGACGTTTCCCTTGAGCAATATGATGGTATAGAAGCTATCTTTTTTAACCCAACATTTTATATTACTTGCAAAACATGTATATGTCAAACTGTGAGAAAACGTTGTATACCTTCAATATTTCATAGATGGTATTGTTTCTACACATGATCGGTGAAACAACTGACCTGACTCACAAGGAATTAATTAAATGTAATTTTTTTTAAATTATCCGGAAAAGAATTTATGGAAACAACGATCGAATACTGAATGTTTTCTATTTGATACTCACAGTTTATTAATTACCACGTTTGATGATACGAAAACATCATCCAGCAAATACAGATTGAAACATCCCTGTACTCAATGATTGTGTGACGCCTATATAATCTCGATTTCACAACGTATCAAAAGAGGCATGTAGTCATGGACCCAATGTGCATGAGGTACTTGAAAGATGTCATAACATGACGTTATTATTGACATCCCTATGATAGTGCACAACCACAATATAGTACAGAGGTTTGTAACGACTATATGCACTTATGCCCCCTGGGCGTGAAATACGTTTGACAACACAAGAGACAGGCATGTATGGACCTGCTTATACCACTGTCAAGCTTCAAACGTTCTAAGTGTCAGCCAAATTGTGATCAGGAGGGCACGAAATCGATGCCACGCGTTCAGATCAACCACACAAAGACAAAACAGTGGGAAACCAGGTTCCACATAATTGCAGCAATACACCATCACTCAGAAATGAACTGCGGAACGTTGTTGGCGTTAACGTTCCTACTCATGCGTAATCGTCACCGTGAGGCTGATGTCAGACCATCGTGTACATACATTTGATCGCTGGCCCTTAAGGTAGCAGTTGTGGATAATGATGTTGATCACGTCAACTAGATGGACTTCAATTGGTCTCAGCTTCGATGATTTCAGATACTGTTTAAGCTTCACAGATCTTCGAGCTCAAGATTTGAAGTTATTCCAACGTAAACAAACCATGACTGCTGTAGAGAGTATGGATCAGTAGAGCTGAAGAACCATTTCTCATGTCCTTGAGCGGGGGGGCGACGACAGGTGTGCGCTACGGGGATGACATGGTGAATGTGTACATGACTCTGTGCTGTGCAATCGGACCGGAAGTCTTCTTATTGTAATATACCCCACGACTACACTGTTGCCTAAATTAGCCAACGAGACCATTGTCCGCATGTAGTGGGCAGCCCTTCACCAGACCTCAACTAAATCCAACACATTTGCAACGAGATGAAGATCTCGATCTTAGGACGCTCGTTCTTTTGGTAACTCTACTTGAACTCGGCAATGATTTTACTGAAGAGTGGAACGAACGGCAACAAGACGCTTACTTGTAGCACGGGACGTCGGCCTCAGGCTGTGGTCACAGGTGAATCACACACGCGCTGAGAGTTTTTTCTTTTGAACTGTGAATTCGTTTTCCTGATTTTAGTTTTGGCCAGATACTCTTATTTGGACGGGTCGCTGTCTGGTTAATCGTCACTGAGGGTACTGTGTGGCTCATGACAACGGTCTTTTCTTACTTGAATGTGTCTTTGTCCGATATTGTCTGGCTCTTTTAACAGATGTACACTTCTTAATTTTTACAGTAGCGATCGCTAGCACTTTGAGTAGTATATCCGTGTAACAGAGATATGGTGACGTGTGGTCCTGTGTATAGAGATCAGGTCACAAATCAGTTGAAGTTAAGCAAGGTTGGGCGCGGAGAGTTTTTGGATGGGTGCCCATGTAAGGCAGCTTGCCTCAGAGTTCCTAGGACTTTAGTCCTGACCCACAACGAAGCACATGTTATACATGTGGTCTCACCTTAGAAAAGTTAGTGAGTTCAGTACTGCCTCTGTTAACCGAGCTGAAAATGGGTACCCGGTGGGATAAGTCATGTGACTATAACCATCTAGAGCCTCACAGCTTGGCAGCTTGGGTTATCCGGGGTAATAATGAACTGTGATTTGCATGCTTTTTGAGCATAATAATAATAATACCTTTGGATTTATATAGCGCTAGTATCCAGTGATCACTGCTCAAAAGCGCTTTTAGGGTGCACTTGGTGTATGGAATTTAGCGCTATAGAAGTACACATCATTATCAAGGGCATAATAACAGTGTACAATGTAACGTTTTATGTCGGGCAGTAATCTGAAGGCCTACCAGCAGGCAGTGAACTGTACTCTGCATGTACAGAAGCAATGCAGTGATGACGTGATGAAGCCCACAGTGGCCGACACCCAGACAGTACAAGACGGCTTGGCTAAACTCTGTGGTCATATCGGGGGTGAGTACTTTAGCATGAGTTCGTTGTCTATAAAAGTATGAAAGTAGACACACAGATTGCTTACATGCCATCTATTTATTAAGGATGACATTGGTTTTTTTAAAGAAATTCTATTTCATAACAGAAATTCAAACCGTGTATATTTGAGCAGAACCTCTTCTTCATCCGAACTTGTATGTTGCAGGTACTCTGATACCTTTTTAGAACCTTTCTGCTGATCTGTTCCCAGATTTCGACACTAAGTGTGTTCAGAAGGCACCTAAAGCAGCTTGCGGCAGTAGACGCCGCTCTTTGGCTTCGATTATCCTGAGGCATCTTTGCGAGTAAGTAAACTTCAGCATGTGGAATTATTCAAACTGCAGTGTTAAATCCTATATCAGCTATTCACATAGCGATTAAGTAAAGCAGTAAATTTCACGTGTACCGCAGTATAGAATACAATACGTATAACGAAGTACGATTCATGCTAATAAAGAATATAGTACAAGGATATGGCAGTTACATTATGCAGTAATCCATCTAAGATATAGGCTACAATTAATACGTGGCATGGCATTAGCATGGCATTAGCAACGATCCACAATGAATGACGTTGTAACCACGATCCACAAGAGTTGTCCACTTGAATTTACCAAGGAAATACACGAAAGGAGAGAGACACGCAGCTGTAAACGGGAGCTATTTCTGGCAGTTTTGGAGATGATTTTATGTATTATTTCTTGGAGTTCTCAGAATTGCATATTCATTATTGTAGCTGAAAAGGGGAACTGTTTCTAACAGTGATTCGTAGAAGGTGATATTCTTAATGTGAACAGTGATCTATAAATAGCACACACCCAAACCTATGACGTAGTGTGAAGTGGCGTCACAGGTATCGTGATGTCATGAGATGTAATAAACATGGGGGGCTTTCACGTTGTGTCTTTCTTTGGAATCTAGTGCACATCCATCACTAACAGAGCAAATACATGAAACAGATGACTTTATGAAGTGTATGCATGTTTTCAGTGACACTCATGTCATCCAGAACTGTCTGGTGTCTGCGGTGAGCAGCTGCAGCAAGACGACCGGCAGCATGTACAAGGACGTCCTACTTAGCCAATCCCCGGCTATGTGTCTAAAGCCTAAGCAGGGATTAACGTCAAATCTGATTGGCTGAAGATGACCCAGCTTATAAATAAACATTGGCTTTTCACTTACTTTTGTGTTTGTCCTGTCTGTCTCATGGCAGTGAATGTATATTTGTTGCAATCAATATTCTCTCTATGTATGTCAATATCAATCAATCAAGTTTATTTCGTAGAAAGGCCGTAGGCCCAGGTACAATACAAAATATACAAGTGTAATTGTGAGATAGTGGCAATTGACAGTCAGATTCATATGTATAAAGAGCGCAATGACAATGCTTCCTTAATGTAATTAGAACAATCTGTTGCTGTTGAAAAATTGGTACATGATAATGTGTTAAAAATTATTGCTGATCTTTGTGATTTGGTAATGCTTTAAAATACTTACAGCGAAGATCCTGATAAACTTTACATTCAAATAGGAAATGAAATTCATTTTCTACAAAGTTATCATTACAAATATTACAAAGTGTTTGGTGAATCGGAACTCCATCAAACCAACCGGTATTTATATATATTGGAAGTGCACCGATTCGTAACATTGGTATTCTACGCCTTGCATCTTTAGATTTCAATAAAGTTAAATATGGTTCAATGCAAAATAGATTTTTGATACTGGAATAAACATCAAGCGATGAACATTTGTGCATTTTTTAAAATCTGAATTGCCTTTCACAATCACCAACTGTTACTTCAGAATCTTTCAAAAACTGTTCAAAGCAAAATACATTTTTGATACTGGAATAAAAAAAACTGTTCCTCTCCCTGAGCTTCCAACACAAAACCAAAACCATAACTGAACAAAGTATTTCTGACAACAATATCCTACCAACTGTGTCTAAATTGTGTAACATAATATAGCACTACTTTGGATTTCTATCCTGTGGTAAGTGTAAATGTTTGAACCAATACTCCATAACACGTAATAAACTATCAGCATAAATATACTTTCTACCACATTCCGCCAAAACAGCAGCATTGGAGCATTTATAACTCACACCCAACACCCCTGACCATTCGCAAGTGTTTTGCTTCATGTGGATTTGGTGTGCGTGAAACTGTTTGCAGTGACGACCTAGAAGACGACAACATTCCCCTAGCTACATTAGTGGCCACGATAAACACGGAAACTACAAGCTGTACAAACAATTAATATGTCCAGTGTGATGACCATTTGCATACTAAAAACCCATTTGAGTGAATTTGAAACAGATCTGATAACTGAAGTAAAACAGACTGAGACCAAGTGTTATGAAGATGAAGACGAAAATGAAGTCGAAGATGAAGACGAAAATGTGTTTCCTAAACTGACTTTAAGTGAAGTTTTAAGAATGTGCACCCAGATCAAACATTTCGCATCCAGTCAGGAAACACGACTTATGTATCATGTGCAGAACTTGGAAAGTGCAGCTGAGGACATTGCACTCGAGGCATCGGCACACAAAATACAAAGTAAGATCAGTGACTTTTTCACAAAGTAAACAAAATATATCTTGTTTTTATTTGAATGAATAAACATGAATGTGCATTCAGCCACTGCCTTGTTTCTTATTCAAACATGTTGTTAATGCTAAAGTGACAGTACGACCGTGAACTTCCTGTGTGCGCCGGCGTCATAAGCGAACTTGCAACCTGCCTAACCGGCACTCTGTCAAAACGGGCATTTTCATTTGGTCCCGAGTGATGCCGGTATTAACAGAGAACACTGTACTCAAAAACCTAATATGAAACTGTTCAATAACATGCCATTTCTGAAACCCCCATATTTCCAAAACGTACAAAATTATCGGCTTTATCTGAACGTCAAAGAATTTGAACAAAAGAGTTGGAAAAATATTTTTAAGTCCACAACAGCGTATGGTATGGATTTACAACTTCTTTAATATTTACAACACGACGTTTCTGGGCTACTTCTTGCCCCTTCATCAGGTGAATGACAGAATATGATTCAAGCAAAATATATAGTATGTACAGGAAGCCAGTGAGATAGTATTACAGATTGAGATGTACAGAGATTAAGTGATGTGTTTAGATGAGATGTACAGAGTTCAAGGAGATGTTTTTGCAAAGGACGCACAGAATGTTTATACAGTGTAAAGGATTGGATATACATGATAGGATTGATTGGAAGCCACTTATGAAAACAATGAAGGATGATGGAATGCACTTATGAAAACAACGATAAGAAAACACTTATATGAAAACACACATCAAAGCATGTACCTTGATTTCAGAAACGTCGTGTTGTAAATATTAAAGAAGTTGTAGAAACGTCGTGTTGTAAATATTAAAGAAGTTGTAAATCCATACCATACGTTGTTGTGTTACCTCCCAACTTCCATATGCCCATCAAGCATCTATTTTTAAGTCTCCTGCAAAAAATCTTAACTGAGGACAAGTCATTGCCACCTAGACACTCAGGGTACAGGTCTAACACGTCAACAACCTCTTTTAAACGCCTGTTCAAAATGAAATTAAAAAGTTTGCCACAAATATCCATGAGATATACCACGATAATTATTTACTTGGTGAATCCTTCCTTTGTATGCAATGGAAATATAACTATAAGTGCCCACTGATTTGGAAATGTACCTGATCTAAAAGCGCCATTAAACAAAGTACATAAAAAGGACTGCAAAACAATCTTATTACCCTTACAAGTAAACATATATATCATATATGCATCACAAATTAATAACAAATGAAAATGGAAATAACCAAATTAGCGGAAAATTGTCCAACTTTCTTCCCTAAGGAATTAAAGGGAGATAATCAAAACTTGTCTCCTCTCAGAGACCAGTCATTATTTCTTTCTATTTTTTAAAGATTTATTTCGTGGGGCTATTTCTAGCTTTCAATTACAACGAGAATGATCTATTTCCACAAAATTAAGCCGATTCTGTCTAAAAGGACCACGTTGTCTGTAATATGAACTTGCTTCAAACTTTTAACAACAGCTGCTGCTGATAACATAGATCACAATCCCAGCTCAACTTCAGCAAAGGAGTCTTGCCTTGGAACTAGGCCCAGGTATATCCCTCTTTCAACACCCCCAGTTTGAACATTAAAAAATATAACGTGATGTGGTCACTGCAGATATCACGTATACATCGTCAAAGACCTTGAATAATCTACCACAATGTTGCTCGGGAGTGCCATCTGTAACATCTGATGTAAAAGATGCCACTATTCCAAACTGAACACATTACTTCTGAAGGAAACTAAGTTGGCCGCAAACTTAGATGACGAATATAAACAAACGGGCAAAAGAAACGATACCAAAATGTAATGTGATAATTTGGGCTCGAACTCAAGTTTTGTAGGTAGTTATGAGCTTAAAACAATCGCCACAAAGCTTCCCTAACATTAGTCATGAAAAATGTTGTGTTTGGGTGAACAGTATCACTGCAACAGGTCATGAGGCACGAAAATCTCGTGAATGGATTGCATGAAGCATGCGCATGTTTGGGGTATAAGAGTGCACACAAACCTTCCTCGACATCAGACCTTCAGGTCAACTTCAGCGACCATGCCCCGATTATCGCAGGAATCCAGAGAGAGCCAATGGAATGGTACAGATTGGTGCCACTCATGCACATGTTGCAGCGACCTTGGGCTGTACACGTCTAACCACCATGAGGCTGATGACCCTCTACAGGCAAAGAGGGCGGACACTAGACAGGACCAGAAGTGGAAGACCTCGCGTCACCAACCCCAACGGAGACCGCTACTGACGTATCCTGCACCTGAGAAACCGTTTCCTACCTGTGACGTCATCAGCAGCGAATGGGCTTGGACATCCTATCAGTCGATGAACAGCAGCACGACGACTCTGACAATACGGTATCCGCGCCTTCAGGCCCTACCTTAGTGTACGGCTGCCACTTCAACATTGACGTCAATGTCTTCTATAGGCACGCACGGTTCGCCAGTGGCAAAACAGACAGTGGCAGAGAATGATCTTCTCAGGCGAAAGCAGGTTCCAGCTGTTCAGGAATGATGGCAGGGCTCGTGTCTGTAGATGCCGTGGAGAACGTGTGCAACGTTGTTGTGTACAGGAAATGGAACTGTTTGATGGCGATGGTGTTATGGTTTGGGGCGGCCAATGTGACGATTTGAAGACATTTTGTTGTGGTGGATGGTAATCGTACTGCTCAACGATACATTGATCAAATTCTGCGTCCGGTTGTGCTATCATTTCTACTTCAACGCCGTAACCGGATCATGTTCCAGCAGGACAACGCCCGTCCTCATAAAGCACGTATTGTCATGGATTTTCTACAGAGAAACAACATCAATGTGGTTGCTTGACCCTCCAGGTCACCTGGCATGTCACCAATTGAACATTTGTGGGACCATTTGGATCGTCAGATTCGTACTAGAGCCGTTGTTCTTGGAAACCGACGTCAGCTTTTCCAAGCCCTTCAAGAGGAATGTCGAAGGATCCCTGCCCAAGGTATATGGCGTCTAAACTTCTCAGCATGTCGTAGAGTTAGGGCTTGCATTGATGCCCACGGTGGACATACCAGATACTGACCACGTGTGTTGTTTTGTTTACATCTGTGATCGACTACTGGACACTTCATTCCTTCATTTATACAGTTGCACATGCTTCAAGAGGTGAGGTGACGTGAAATTGGGTTAACGTCATACGAAACGCTTATAGCATATTGTTACAGGAACGAATATTTCGCTCACATGACGACACGCAAGCGTGTGTATGTGTATGTGCGGCTGCTTGTACTAGCCCAGACTGAAGCTGGGTTTATAGTTCTATCCAACTGAGATACCATGCCGCAGTGAAGCATGAATACCCCACTAAGACACATTATACTGACTCCGAGCCGACCAGTCCTTGTTGTACCCATTAATGCCGAGCGCCAGAAAGGGACCAAGAAGTACCATATTTTAACGTCTTTTGGTATGACACATGCTTCAAGACATGGCCATGGAAAAAATCATGACCAGGACTGTAGACATTGATGGTGTGGTGCTTTCAATGATGGTTTGCAATGCTGTCCTTGAACCCAACACTGAACTCTGGATTGCCTTTAGGTCAGGAAAGCATTTTCGTTACTTTGCAGGAAACAAAATGTCTTCCTCCCTGGGACCAAAGAAATCCAGAACCTTGCCGATGTGTGACACAGTGTCATCTTTTGCCAGACATGGGCAAAATCTGCTTGGACAGCCTGGAATCTGGTGCCTGGGCTGACTGAAGCACTGTTGGCACTAGCATCTGCTCCAGCCTGCATACCAAACAACACCTTCACCACAACTGAAAGGTTTGTCATCAAGATATATGACAAAGCAAGGATACTCATATCAACAGTGCCAGAAAGTCTATGGTCGTGAGGAATAATTCTTTACTAGGCATCCCTCCAACGTGCGCAGCCCTTGAGCAGTACATCAAAAGAACCGCCTAGCAAGGAGATGTATGGGGGCAGACTCTTATAGCCCAGCCAGCACTTCCATATCAAATTGACAGGGGTTGGATCAGGAACGACGAAGGACTCCACAAATCCTTTTGGACAACACTTCCGGAAGCAGCAAAATCATGTTCAGAATTGGTTTCATGCAAATGTAAGAAAGGCTGCAAAAATCGCTGTACCTGTAAAAAAGCCTCCCTAAAGTGTTCATCATTGTGTTTGTGCCAAGGAATATGCTAAAAGGGTCAGCATTGATATGATTGTAAGTCAAAGACTTTTATTGTGAGTTTCAGTGAAATTTGTCATTGTATTATTTAAATGTTGCGCATGCTCAGAAGAATGTTTATTTCTAATGCCTCCTTATCTTAAAATGATCACTACATATTAGTGAACATTTGTACCAAGTTTGGTGCTTTTATCACATTTTACATAATTATTTGCTGCGCTGCCTCACTATTAATTATCTCAGGTGGAATACCATCTGGACCAGGACTTTTATAAGACTGTAACCTACCAAGAGCAACATCCATCTCCTCAATACTTATGTCCCTGTCACAATATTATTCATATCATCATCATTACAGATTTCACAGACGGATTCTTGCACATCATGATTTACAATGTAATCTTCTGTAAAGGATAAAAAAATCGTCATTAATATGAATATCTTGACTATTAAAAACATCTTTAAAATATTCAATCCATGACAAACAGTCAATTGATGCTACAGATTTACATGAAGCGCTTCTAACACGTCTCACATGAGACCAAAAAGATTTAACCTTTTTACCACAAGTAAAATCTGATAATATAGAGTTGGTTATTGAGATTGTATATTCCTCCTTCTTGTGACGACAAAGTTCTCTGAATTTGTTTCTAACCTTATAAAAAGCCTTGAAGGTAAGAAAAATCCCCAGACAGGCGAAATCTATCCAAAGTTCATACACATCATGTTAACATTTTCACATGTCTTGATCAAACCATTGATGTTTATCATTATCCCGTCTCCTCACATAGTTTGAATTCATTCCAAAAGAAGATGCAGTTTCTTTGATAATGTCAGACAGCATTTTTGCACCTAGAGATGGATTATCCGGAGTTATCTCATGAAACACATAAATTTAGAGGCAGTGAGTTTAAGTTTACTTTTAAGGTAGAGTAAAACTTGTCTGCATGGGAAGGTCTCCACTTACATTTCCGAATCGCAATTGTATCATAATGCACCAAATCGACAGTCCTCTTGAAGAAACACTTTAGCTGACAAACAATAGGCGAATGATCAGATTTTACTGATGTACACACAATAAAATCACTAATTGAGTTGAATAGATTAGTAGAATTATGTATAAGTAATAAATTTAGGGCCAGACAATCCAGTGATTGATATCAAGAGTAACATCATATGAAGTCGGGATACGATGACATTGGACCGAGTCATTTAACTTGCCCATTCAATCTCTTGACAGGCAGTAGGGTCCGGGGTGCGAAAGAATTGTGTAAGATTTGTCTTATTTGCACATATGAGTAAAACCTCCAGTGTGCGTGTATTTGTGCATGCGTACTTGTGTCACTGACTCCGATTATAGTTGACGCCTGTCTTGGAGCCGTGCTTCTGAGACCAGGGTTTCAGTAATCAAGAATACAGTAATCATTGAAATCCTGATAAGAGTTTTACTACTATATGCCAATTGTGTCAACAGACGACAATCTAAAATATCAACAACAA